CTAGCTTACCAAGGAGTAGGCTGTGGTCTACTTGATCAAATGCCTTACTGAAGTATAAATATACTACGTCCACAGTATTTCGCTGGTCTATTAGTTTAGTCACTTTGTTGAAGAATGAAATAAGATTGGTTTGGCATGATCTGTTTTTAACAAACCCATACTGGCTACTAGTTATAACTTTGTTTGCTTCTAGTTGTTCGCAGATTTGTTTTTTGATTATCTTTTCTAGGATCTTCCCAGGTATTGAGGTTAAACTGATTGGTCTGTAGTTTCCTGGGTCTGTTTTTTTTTTTTTTTTCCTTTCTTGAACATGGGAACCACATCAGCCCTTTTCCAATCCTCAGGTACTTCCCCAGTGCTCCAGGATTTTTGAAAGATGTGGTGCAATGGTTCTGCGATAATATCTGCCAGCTCCTACAAAACTCTGGGATGTAATCTGTCAGGCCCCAATGATTTATATTTATCAAGGTCGGATAGGTGTTCTCTTACCATTTTCTTGCTTATTTTAATTTTTGTTTCTAATTTGTCTTTTGCAGTGGGTTTTTTTGGTATGTTGGGCTATAGTTTCTTTTTGTGTGAAGACTGATACAAAATATGAGTTAAGCAGCTTTGCTTTCTCCCTGTTGCCTGTTATTTCCTTGCCATCTTCTCTCTTTAGTGGACCTACAGTTTCCTTGACTTTTTTTCTTGTTGTTAATATGTTGGAAGAAACTTTTTTATTATCCAAGATTTCTGTTGCAAGTCTTTTTTCATTCTGACCCTTTGCTTTCCTGACTTCATCTTTGCATGTTCTGGCTGTCTGCTGATAATCAGCCTTAGTTATGTGTCCCTCTTTCCTTTTGTATTTGTCCTTTTTGTCTTTCAGTTTGTCAGAGAGATCTTTGTGCAGCCATGTTGGTTTCTTCTTGAATTTCTTGTTTTTCTTTTTCAGTTGTCTTGTGCTGGTCTGGGCTTTTATGATCACATTTTTCAGAGTTTCCCATACTTCTTGGATTGTTTTCCCCTTTAGGATTTTCATCAATGCGATTTTTCCTAGGTTCTCTCTGAGTTTGTTAAAGTCAGCTCTTTTGAAGTTCAAGACACTGGTTGGATTGTTTTCTGTTGCTAGTGTTTGCGTTATATGAAATTCCAGTATGATATGGTCACTTTCGCCCAAGGTTCCAGCAACTTCAATTCCCTCTATCACTTCTTCTCTATTAGTTAGAATTAAGTTCAGTGTGGCTTTACGTCTAGTTCCCTCCTCCACCTTTTGGATGACAAAGTTGTCGGCTAGGTTGGTTAGGAATCTGTTTGATTTCCCGCTCGCTGCAGAGTTTGTGGGCACACATTAAAAATGAAATTCTATTGCCTGCTCTCAAAAGTGTACACATACATAATACACATATAAACATGCTTGTTGTTGTTAATTGCGAAGTCTTGTCCGACCCATCGCGACCCCATGGACAACGTTCCTCCAGGTCTTCCTGTCCTCTACCATCTTCTGGAGTCCATTTAAGTTCACACCTACTGCTTCAGTGACTCCATCCAGCCATCTCATTCTCTGTCGTCCCCTTCATAAACATGCTACATACATATATATATGTATATACCTACATCCTTGCATATTAAGTATAAATATTAATAACTGTCCATCTTGAATACCTAGCAGAAAGAGAAAGCATGAGAGTTCACAAGGTTAATATTGTATGGAATAAAACTGTGACTAAATCTGGATATTCTGCTTCAGATACCACGAAACCTCCTCCCAGAAGGTAACAAGGAAAACAGGTCATGAAGAAGATGTGTGGCATCCCAGACAATCCTGCAGACTCTGCTCAAGCAACGCTTATATGCCATGACCATAAATAAAACACATACACACACAAAGAGAGGAAAGTAATGTAAACCCATCCATATTGTGATAAACTAAAATTCACATATAGTCACCAGGAATCAAATTCAACTCAGCACCATCTTCAACTTCAGTATCCTGAAACTTAATCTGTGATCTTTCCCTTTAACCTGCCAAGAAGTAGAGACATTTTTTTCTGGATGAAATAAAATCAATAAACTCAAAAGCCTAACTAAAGTGAATTACAGGTTATACCAATTTGAGTACTGTAGTTGGGGCGGAGCCAAGGTGGTGGACAGGCAGCATAGGCTGTAAGAGCTCCTCCAAAAGCAAAAGCTTTCTTTTATTTTCTAATCCTTTTTAACATTGCATTTTTAATCTATCCACTTTTAACCTATTTTAACCTACTTTTAACTCTTTTTAACTACTGGAGAGTACTGTAGCTGGCCTTTGCAATTTGAGTGTTGTTTTTAGATAATTTAGCTGGAGTTGATTAATTCAGAATTTACTGAAAGCTTGCCACCTAGTGGATTACATGATAGTTGCATATAGTATATGCATATTTTTTTCTCTTGTTAGTGAGCTATACAGTGAACGCAACAAGGATAATACAATTTTCTAATAAAAAATATTTCCATTAGTATATATTGTAGGTGGTTTCTTCTTAAATTAAGAAATTAATCAAATGGGGACAAAGAAAAGCAAATGATTATTAGAAATTCTTGAGCTGCATTGCCCTATTTTGATTGTGCACAATATGGTGAAATATATTTAAATGATTTGCCGGTCAATTAACATCAGAATTATGGTCATTCACAGGAGGCTACAGATGCCAATAATGAATTAATCACAAAAGTAATTGTGGAAAATTTACACAAATTATAGTGCAATGCCAGCCCTATCTATTTAGAGGTAGCAGAACTATGTTTAATAGGATTTACTCCTTCTCAGAGATATATAATATTGAACTGTCATCTGAAAGCTGATTATGTTTTTATATATTTATTATTTCTGTCATACTATAGAATACTATTTATTGGTGCCTTACACTTCATATTAAATGCATCCAGTAATATCAGTATACATTGTGGTACAGCCATACTCTTTCCTCAATTCCTATGGGAAAATTGTTTATTTGCTTTCAGCCAACTATATTGCTGTTACCAAATATGAATTATTCATGTCAGTTCTGCCTTAAATCATTATACAACTCATTCTTGGAAAACTGTGTAATGAAGTAGCCTTTTATACTGCTTTGGGACTGAAATTTGAAATCAGCTATTAGATTTGTTTCAAAAACCTTTAGAAAATTTGAATATCTGATTTTATCTGCAGTGCTGTGTATTCTGCTGTAAACAAATGACATAGTATAACAGTATTTGTAACATAGCTTACAAATCATATCATATTCACCCAGGATTTAAGAGTAAGAGAAAAATGCAATGTTCATAGATTTGAAAGTACCCTCATATTAGTTATGCTTCTCAATTATGTTTATCAAATAAATCCTAAAACCTGCCACTTAGAAGTTCTGATCCAGCTGTATGAATCAGTGCATCAATTCATTTTAATGCTTATTGAATGCTGAATTTGGATTATTTTTTAAAAAGTATGCACAGAGTTCCAATAACTACATCACTTCAGAACTCACAACAGTTGTTTGTTCTACATAGGACTTAATATAGAAGCTAGGCCAGAAATAAAAAAATTTAAACTACTTAATAGGTGAAGATGACCTTGACTTGAATTCAACCCTTAGTGACTATATTATCATATCCATGCATTTTACTGGCAACTGAATGGAAATAGCATGCCATTCCCTTCTTCTGAATTATCTTTTTGATTTCTGTATCTGCTCTACAACCCTGGAATTCCCTTGTGTTCTCCAGCAACTAAATACTAAATAAATCTGATTTTGCTTAATTTCCAAGTCTTGACAAAATGGTCAAGTGCTGCAAATATACCCAGCAGAGACTGGTGACAACATCAATAGTATGACAGCTACACAAAGATATATTTTACACGTTTAACACTGCTTAGCTTTGGGAATCTAAATCAACAGTGGGTGTGTTCTTGAAGCTATTCTTTTTTCCCCATACATTTACAAACCTTTTTAAAATTCAAAGTCACTAGCTTTTCTTTTACTACACTTTTACAGGAATGAAAGTGAGTTATATATCTTAGTGGACAATCAGTAGGGTGGAGTGGTTAAAGCATCAGCCTAGAAACCAGGAGACTGCAATTTCTAATTGTAAAGCCAGCTGGGTGACCTTGATGCAAGCACTCTCCTCAGCCCTAGGAAGGAGGCAAAGGCAAACCTTTCCCAAAAACCTTGCCAAGCAAACTGCAGGGATTTGTCCAGGCAGTCACCAGAAGACTGACTTGGGGAAAAAAATGAATTCCTGTTATTACAATAATTTCTTGAATATAAGTGCATTTAAAGAAAAAAACCTTCACCTATGAAGTCTAGCAGCCAGACAATAGGATGGGGAGAAGAGAGAAATTGCAGTGGGCAATTATAAACTGAATATTTATAAGACTATTATTCACATAGCTTAATCAGAGGTTAAAATAGAAAAGCTGGAGTTAATTCTTCACACAAAAAGCTCTGATTTTTCTCCTCTGGTCGTAGCATCCCAGTCTGTACAGTATTTCATTATTTCTCCAGCAACGCTTGTCACGTTAGGGCAGCCAGCCTCCTCCTTTTCCTGCAAAAGCAGAAACCACCTCCCCAATTCCTCTCTTAAGATATAAAGGGATAAGACGCGACCCTTACCCGCCCACTTTTCCTTTACCCCCCCCCCTTTGGCTGCCTTCACTCTCTTTTCTTCGTAGCTTCGCGGGAGAAGCGTGGCTTTGCTGAAATCGTCCCGCCTTTGCACTTTACCGCGGGCTGCTCACCCGCCCCACCAACTCCAGAGTTAAAATGAAATTTAAAAATCCTCCCCCTTCCCTTCAACTTGTTTTGGGCCGGGGAGGTCATTCGCTGCCCCCAAGGGAAAAGCAGCGCGGCCGGGACCATTTGCCGGCGATGGGGGTAAAGAAAGCGGATTGCCGCGCTCCCGTGGCCTCTCCGCGACTAGCACTAGCGAGGGACGCGGTCCAGCTGGAGGTGTGGGCGGGACTTTGCGTGACCACCCTCCTCGCTCGCGGTAGGAGTGGGAGTGCCCGCCCTCAGAGCGGAAGTGCCTGCCAAACGGAGGGACGGCGCTGAGCTGGCGCTGGTTTGCCTCGCGCGGGGCTCGAGCGTCGCTGTCATCGCTTCAGCGCGGGAGGAAAGTTGGGCTCGCGCTCCCCTTCGCAGGCGGCGGCGGCGTCTCGGATGCGGCGGAAGCAGAAGCGGCTGCTGCAGGCAGTGGGGCTGGCGCTGGCCGCCCTCGTCTTCCTCCCCAATGTGGGGCTCTGGGCGCTGTATCGGGAGCGGCAGCTGGATGCCGCCGGCGAAGGGCGAGGAGGAGCGGGAGGCGGCGCTGCGGGGGGAGCCCGCGGGGGGGCGCCGCCAGGAGCAGCCGCCGCAGCCCGAGAGGAGGCGCAGGTGAGAAGGTGGCGGCGAGGCGCCTTCCTCTCGCCCTCCGGCAGGCTCTGGGGGAAGGCTGTTGCTCTCTGAAAGGGTGAAAGGGACGGAGGGGGGGGGTCCTTCGGCAGGGAGGGCGGCAACGCGGACCGCTCGCTATGCCCTCCGCCCTTTCTGAGGGCCAAGGACGGAAGGGGACGCCTAGCTTCCCTTGGGGGTGAGACCCGCCGCGGAATAGAAGAGAGAAGGATCCGGGAGGTGGGGGCGGACACGGGATGCGGGGGGGCGGCGGAGGGAATTAAGGGGATGGAAGGAAGCAGGGTAGCTTTTATTTGGCCCACGGGAGAGAACAGAAAGAGCATTTTCGTAGTTGGAGGTCTTGGTTTCCTCTCTTCGAGAAGAAAGGCCAGTGATGAGTAGAGTATTTGGGCGGGAGAAGTTCTTTTACTTTAGGGGACAAATATCTATGAAATTAGAGGTTTTGCAGCTGTCCCATGTGCGGGGCGTCCAGTTTTCCCCAAATCGGTCTCAAAAAGCCATTCCCCATTGCAATCTCTCCAGACCCCATTGGCTTTAAATGATATTGTAGTATCCTTTTAATTACGCTTCCTCTTCTGTTGATAGCGATTCCCTGGTGCTTTCTCTTCTGTTGAGCAGTTTTTTTTTCCAAAAGACAATTGACCTGGGATTTGAAACTCATACTACAGTATTTGATGCCCTTAATATTTCTTTTTAGTTGAGGTATGGTTGTCAGCTTTAGTTTATTTATTAGTCAGATTTATATACACCATCTCACTGTATAAAGTGATTCTGGGAAGTTTACAGTAAAATATCATAATCCTATACAAAAATATCAGAAGAACAAAACTAAGTATGTCATTTGTACCTAAGGCCTCTTCTTTTCAAGTCACACCAGCCAGTTAAGAGTCCCCTGTAGGTTTCAGTTCTGCCCACAAGGAACCTGAGAAATAACATCACACTTTTAAATCATTTTTTTTTAATTTTGCCATTAGAGATCCTACTCCTCTTTAATTTGCAAGAAAATAATTAGATTTACTTCTGAATAAAAATTGTACATATATATCTAATTGATTTGATGGGGTTATCTTGTTAAGTATTTAAACTGTTACAGAAATAGTATGTTATTGCAATCCTTTACTCTTCAAGGTTTCTTTAAGCAAACAAGAATCTTCTCTTTTCCTCCGAAAAAGAAATGCTATATGAAGTTAAAAACCTTCTGATACTGTAACATACACCCATGGTAATAGTGTTCTCCTTTGTGCCTTCCAGAAATTAACAAGACAAAATTCAGTAAAATATAACTTTATAAAAACTACTGACCTTAATGAATGCTGGATTTTAGGAAGGCTATTCAATGTGTGCTAGAAATTTCTATGGACGTGTCACACCATGATTTCTTTGCAGTACCCTAAACTTCGTATTGAAACTCAAGCTTTCATTCTACTGTTTTCATGCAATATTTCAAATTTTAAGAAATAATTTTTAAACTACTATGGGTAAAATTAACCAGAGTCTAATGACTTATATTTGTATGTCCTGAGAAAGAGAATCTGGTGTAAGTGTTTATAGTCATTCTCTTTCTGACATTAAGCAGAGTATTTACAAGCTTTGTTTGAAGTCAGTTTACCTTTCCATACAATTAAATCTGACTTCCTGGTTTATTTGCTCGCTTGTGTGACTGCAAGAAGTGTAAAAATTACAACAAAAAAAATCACTTGATTTTGTGCCATTTAATGTGCCATCCTCATAAAACCAGAGTTAATGGTTTCTTAATGTTCAAACCAGGCCTTTGATAGTGAAAGCCCAGTCCTTCTAAAGTATTTACAAACTGTAATAGAAGGACTAATAATTTACTGAAGGAAATAGCCATTGAAATAGTGTATTTGTTATATACATTTGGATTTAAGGAAGATAGCAAAATGGTGGAAATATGAAAGGGGAAACTATTAGATCATGAGTATGCAGAATTTTATTTCAAGCATTTTCCTAGCTATATCCTTAAATTAAAGCTGCAATAGAAGTGAGTAAACATGGCTTTCTACTGGGTTTGCAATTTTCTAATAGGATTATTGCTTTCTTGCACAAGTGCTTTTTCTTTCTCCACTCTAAATGCTGGATAATAGTTTTATAAAAGTATCAGTTATAGCTGTTGATTACTGCTTTCACTGTGCTTGTAAGCTGCCCAGAACTGTTAAATAAGTTAATAGCATATACATTTTCTAATAAATAACACCTGTCATTCCCAAAGAGCAGTTTTACTCAGAGATGTGGGCTTTCTGAATCTCACCAGGAAAAAGAAAGAGAATGTAGACTACTGTGTTTCATATATAAGACATTTAAGCGATAAATTAGTGTTAGTCAGCATAATGTGGACTCCACAATTTCTATAGAGTTATAAGCACTGTCTGGCCCAGTTTTGTTTATTTATTTGTTTGTTTATTTATTTATTTATTTATGAGACTTATATACCGCTTTAAATGCAAGCACTCTCTAAGCGGTGTACACCAGTAAGCAATGTATATATATATTTACATTGCCCCCAACAATCTGAGTCCTCATTTTACCTACCCCGGAAGGATGGAAGGCTGAGTCAACCTTGAGCCGGTGAGATTTGAACCGCTGACCTGCTGAACACAGTCAGCTAAAGTGGCCTGCAGTACTGCACTCTAACTGCTGCGCCACCTCGGCACCTATGTTGAATTATGTTCTAGTTCTATAGCTAAGTATAGAATTATCGGGAAGTCCAACTATTTATATGCTTGACTCTTTCCTTGTCATGTCTTATTAAATATAAAAATGGAACCAGAAATTTATTTTTTAAATAAATAAATACATAAACTATTCCAGTATGATGATGATAACGGTAATAGTTATTTTTGTTTAACTATTGATTTCCTGCATAAAATAATTGAGTAGTGGCTACTCACTTTTTAAGGTATTATATTGCCTCATTTATTAATAAATAATGCATTTTCATTATTTCGTTAAAATAAAAATGAATTAATGGTGAAAACCTGCAACAAACTTGCAAACCATAATTGCTGAAATATATAGTTCATAAATTGCATGATCCAAGCAATGTAGACTAATAATGCAAGTGTCATTAGAACACACACTGATGGAGGAGGTAAACTTTTAGTAGTTCACACATCATTCCTCTGTATTAACACTTTTTGCAGAGCTATCTCCTATAACACAGGTGTCAAACTCACCATGTCACATGACGTGTCACAATGTATCGCAATTTTTGCATTGCTGGAGCTGGGGTGGACGCGGCCTCCGTATGATACAACCGGCCCACGGGCCAGCAGTTTGACACCCCTGTCCTATAAAGTTGTTTACAGGTTTTAAAAGCATGTTTTTCTTTTCTATCTATAAATATATTTAAAATATTCTGATGTAGGAGCTTTCTTATGATTTACAGCTATGAAGGTATGAAAATTTATGTTTTGAAATACAATGATTGGCATTCTAAACAGATTTTCTTCTTAATGATGATCCTTTCACTCTTTAGTCTTCCAAAACCTCCAGTCTCACAAAATAAAGCAGCAACAACAGCAAAAAAGTTAGAACAGGGGTCTCAAACTGGCAGCCCGTGGGGCGGATGTGTCACGTGCTGGCCATGCCCACCCCATCTCCGCAGAGGCAAAAACATTGTGATAACGTCATGATGCGTCATGTGACACGATCGAGTTTGACACCCGTGAGTTAGAATCTACAGTTTTGCTTTTTGTTTTTCTAGAACCAGTGATGTCAAAACTATAATATGTATGTCAAAGATGATGCCATGATGTTTTGGGTCACATGCAAGCATTTCCCAACATCCAAAAACAATTATTTTTGAAAGCACAACCCATTTATATGAATTTTTTGGAGGCTACACAATAATGGGGGATGCTGCTGCATAGTCTCTGGACCCTCCAAAATGAGTTTGTTTTACTGTTATTTTATTTTTGTAATATTATTTGATGTTTCTTTATAATACCTAGCATGACACATGATTATTTTTTCAAATAAATATGTAGAGAATTGTCTCTCTTGTTTGTGGGGAGATGTCATGCCAGCAGAATCAGATTAGGCATTTTCTGAATTTTTGACATGCCGAGCCCAAAAGATATACCATCACTATCTTAAACTAGAGCAATTTATTTCTTTGTTACATAGAATGTTAATCTCAATATTTAGAGATAATATAATCATTACTATTGACATAATGTTAATTTTTAACATAATGTATCTGGGGAAGAATTGATTCTGTTTAGAATCTAATCATGAGCTTATATTCATAAAGTGCTTTGAAAGAAATGCATATTTACACTAGGTTTTGTACTCATGTATTGTTTACAAGGAGTTTTGTATTTTAAAAAATCATTTTTATCATTTTTCTAAAGGATGCATTATTTTCTTGAATGTGCAAGTATCATAAATAATTCAAACATATCACCTTGATATTTATCTTAAGCACTTTTTGTGGTTCTAATGGTAATTGTAATAGTATTAATGAACAAGATAAATTAAGTCACATCACTTGGCAATTCAGATTTTTCATATTATAATCTTTCTTAAATAAACATTTAAATTATGACATTAATATTTTAGCACTTGTCTTTCTATTATATGGAAGGATTATATGAGCCTGGAATTACGGTTGTAAACTATGCTGGTCATTAAATGGGTCACCATGTGACCATACCTGATTTTATGACTTTTTTGTGGCAGATAGTAAGCAAATGCCATTGTCACTAGGTGAATGCCACAGTCATTAAGTGAACCCATTTAGCCAATGGGCATTTTTAATTGAAAAGTGGAAGTAAATGCAGGCAAAAAAGTCATAAATTGTGGTCATGTAGCTGCAGGACACTGCAAATAGCAGAGGTCCAATTGTTAAATGCCCAAAATGAATCATGAACAGACTTCAAAACTGGGTCATTAGTATCTTTGGGGGATTCATTGTAACTTCAAACAGTCACTAAATGACTGCTCATAAGTTGAGGACTACC